AAATTTGCAATCATGTTGGTAGCGCTCGGGGTCAAATAGGGAACGGGGTCAAATAGGGAAATCGGGGTCATATAGGGAAATCGTTAATAACTCCAAAAATTTGACAGATATCTCAAAACAAACCTCAGAATCGGATTCGGCAGGCCTCAATCTACCTTTAAGATGCTTATTTAATTCAACTACGGCAATTTTTACAGAATAAATGATAATGTTTTTCTTCTACGTTAGCTTGATGCGTGTCTCCTCCGTAGCGAAGGGAGCAAATAGGCAAAACACGTTGAAAAGCATCGATTTAACTAAAAATAAATAGCAAAAGGTAGAAATATCAATATAAAATACACATTCTCTTCATATTCATCCAAATTTCACACATCCTGCAACGAGGGTTACAAGTTTTCTCTAAATAAATCAGCTGAGTGATCGACGCGCTCGGGGTCAAATAGGGAAATCGACATTTGGGGTCAAATAGGGAAATGACTAAAAACTGCAAGAAACAAGCACGAAAAAGAAAACTAACCTCATTCCAAGGCAATGAGTAATTAAATCTGCTCTTTCTATCCGTTTGTCTGCTAGAAATCAAGCTATATCGATAGATAGATACAATTCAGACAACGTTCGACACGCACTTAGGTCGACCCCAGTGAATGGCCACAACCCCCAAACGAGTTTACAAGTTTAGAGGCAATGGAGCAGAAGGTAAAGTATGAGCCTGAAGTTACCCACGTTATGGTTAATTCAGAAGAGCCAGTATCCTTAAATCTGGAAAATGTTTTCGACATTCGTAAATACAGTAGCAAAGGCAAGTTGTTAAGAACTCTTTCTTGGGTTTTGCGCTTCGTAGACAATTTAAAAGCAAGGCTAAGTTGCAAATCGATTAACAAGGAAAACGAAATATCGGCAGACGAAACTTGCAGAGCTGAGATGGTCATTGTTAAGTCTATTCAAAAACAAGCATTTAAGATAGAATTGCAGTATCTTTCAAAAGATAATAAGAGTAGAAGTAAGGCGCCGCTGTATGTAAGCCAATTCAATCTTTTTCTGGATGAACACGGAGTATTGAGGTGTAGATCTAGAGTAAACAAATCTTCGGTCATTGATTCAGGGAAAAATCCCATCTTACTTCCCCCAGGTAATCATTATGCCTTCTTATTAATTCAAGAGTCGCACAGAAAGGTATTTCACAATGGAACACGTGAAACATTAAATTTGTTGCGTCAAACGTATTGGGTTCCACGAGGCAGAGAAATGGTGAAGAAATATGTTCGCAAGTATCTTTTATGTAAGAAACTAGAAGGGTTGCCATTTCGTACAACTTTCAACCCAGATTTGCCACAAGCTCGAGTAGACGACGGTCCACCATTTTCAAATACTGGTCTAGATTTCGCAGGGCCCCTTGTTGTCAAGTATAGAAGTTAAGAAGCTACTAAGATCACCCAGGTTTTACGAGTCCTTGTCTCTGAGATGTGTTGAGTGGAAATTTATAACGGAAAAAAGTCCCTGGGAAGGTGGAGTATGGGAAAGGTTAATTAGAAGTGTAAAGAGGTGTATTATAAAAATCATTGGTCGAGCCCTATTAGAGGTTGAGGGTGTTATCAATTCACGCCCCTTAACTTACGTACACGACGATACCGAGGGAATCTCGTACCCATTGACCCCCTCACATCTTATAAGCGGGAGAAATTTGTTGCATTTGCCTCAATACAGATACCTAGAAATTGTAAGTGTTTATGAAACTTTATCTAAACGTGCAAGATATAATAGACTTCTTTTAGGTCAGTTTACACGGAGGTGGAGAAATGAATATTTATTAGGGTTAATGGAAGCATACAGACCCACAAAAAATCAATCAAAGCCAAATGTTGCAGTTGGAGATGTAGTGTTATTGAAAGATGAGAGCAAGAAAAGGAGTTTTTGGAAAATCTGCCGCATAGAAGAGCTCATAGTAGGTAAAGACGAGGTGGTAAGATCAGCGATTATCCGACTAGGATCAGACGATGGCAAAATAGGTAAGAAGACTTTATGTCGCCCTTTAAAGTTACTAATACCATTAGAAGTAAAACCTAACCATTTGACAAATTCTTTACAAAATCCTCCTACGCAGTTGCCATTGCAGCCAGCAGCGCAATCGCCTTCGCAGCAGCGTACGCAGTTGCCTATGCAGGCAAACACTAGACCTAGACGTAGAGCAGCAGTTTTGGGAGAGACAGTTCGAAGACAAATTATGCATTAACGTTTTTGCAGCATATTATCTTTAACTTTGTTATTGTTCTGATTTTGTTATGTGTAATCAAGTAAATTCAATACTAATATCTTTAGTTAATTTGGGTTTGATCATGTCATGATCAGTGGCGAAGCTAAAGGTCCTGCTTGTCCTGCTGGGCAGGACCACGAATTTCCAAAGATAACAATTTTTAAAATGTTAAAAATTGATTCACTTTATGAAATCATTATATGCCTGATTCAAAGGCATTTCTTGTCTTATTCTACACTTATACTTCGTGGCTGTGCCCTTTTTCAATTTTGAGACACAGGGTGACTGAAATGGAATTTCGAGTATCCCGTTCGTAAATTGATATCGTCAAAAATTTAGCCCTGTGGTCAGTCCTGCCCAATACTCGTAGGCAGGACTAAACCCTATGTTTGGTCCTGCCCAACAATGGGCAAACGCCTCGTAGCCCTGTTTTTGGTCCTGCCTCACAATAGAAGAAAACAATGGCACTCCTGCCCTTCAGAAATGGCAGGACCTCAGGTCCTGCTCTTTCATGAAGGCAGGACCTAGATTTTTGGAGCCCTATGTTTCGTTATAATTTGTTGATTTTCTGCGCCGTGGTCAAAGGTCACAAAGAATTTTCACTCAGGCCATAGTCAGATCAGTTACTCAGGCCTTAACTATTTTGATATCATGGATAAAACTAACTGTAACGAAGACATCATGATTCTGCTGCTGAAGAAGTTTTTGCTGCTAGAAGCTTCGGCCCTACACTGTCGTCAATTGATTTATACAAGAATTGATCGTTTCAAGACGAGTGGTACTTACGGAAATCAAATTGTTTAGGGTCGTTCTGTTTGTCCTATTTACTGTTAAAGTCGGGAATATCACAGACATCGCGAGAAACCTGATATGCATATAGTTTTCTCTCAGACTGCAGAGAGCAAAGGAATTCATATTCAAAGGCCTATTTTAAAAAGTAGAAAAAGTTTGCCGCCGCTGCCGAAAGAGAAACTTCTTTTGTTGTACCAAGAAAGTCGAGATCGAGGGGAGATGGAATGTTCATGACAGAAAAAGGGCTTGCTTAAATTTAATTTCAGTAGTTCGTCCT